TTTTCTCTTATTAATCTGTCATTTGTCAGTTGATTTTTCTGTCAACCTTTCAAGGGTGAAGGGGAAGTTTTCTGTTCATCTCTACAATATATACCACATATTCTTTTCCCATTCATCAATTGATGGGTACTTACATTGATTCTAAATTTTGGCTATTAAGAAAAGTGCTGCAATAAACATGGGACTGCAGGTATCTCTTTAATATACTGATTTCCTTTCTTTTGGATATATATCCAAGTAGTGGAATTGCTGGATCATATGCCATTTCAACTTCTAGCTTTTTGAGAAACATCCATCTGTTTTCCATAGTGGCTGTACTGATTTACAATCCCACCAACAGTGTACAAGAGTACCGCTTTCTCCACATCCTCACCAGCTTCTGTTATATCCAGTTTTTGTTTTGTTTTGTTTTTTGAGACGGAGTCTCACTCTGTTGCCCAGGCTAGAGTGCAGTAGAACCATCTCAGTTCACTGCAACCTCTGCCCCCTGGGTTTAAGTGATTCTGCTGCCTCAGTCTCCTGAGCAGCTGGGACTACAGGCGTGTGCCACCACACCCAGCTAATTTTGTATTTTTAGTAGAGACAGGGTTTCACCATGTTACCCAGGCTGGTCTTGAACTCCTGGCCTCAAGTGATCCTCCTGCCTCTGCCTCCCAAAGTGCTGTGATTGCAAGTGTGAGCCACTGCACCTACCATACCCTGTCTTCTTACAAAAATTTGCTGGGCATGGTGGCACATGCCTGTAGTCCCAGCTACTCTGGAGGCTGAGGCAAGAGAATCACTAGAAGCCATTCTAACTGTATTGAGATGATAGCTCATTGTGGTTTTGGTCTGCATTTCTCTGAGGATTAGCGATACTGAGCATTTTTTCATATACCTGTTGCCCATTTGCATGTCTTCTTTTGAGAAATGTTTATTCAGATCTTTGCCCATTTTATAATTAGATTATTTGGGGATTTGCTATTGAGTTATTTGAGCTCCTTATATATTCTGGTTATTAATCTCTTGTCAGATGAATAGCTTGCAAATATTTTCTCCCATTCTATGAGTTGTCTCTTCAGTTCATTGTTTCCTTTGCTGTGCAGGAGCTTTTTAGCTTGATATAATCCCATTTGTCTATTTCTGCTCTGGCTGCCTGTGCTTTGAGGTCTTACCCAAAAAATCTTTACCCAGACTAACGTCCTGGAGCATTTCCCCAATGTTTTCTTTCACAAGTGTCATGGTTTCAGGTCTTAGATTTAAGTATTTAATTCATTTTTATTTGATTTTGCATATGGTGAGAGACAGAGGTCCAGCTTCATTCTTAAACTTATGGTTATTCAGTTTTTCCAGCACATTTACTGAAGAGACTGTCCATTCTCCAACATATGTTCTCAGTGCCTTTGTCGAAAATGAATCGACTGTAAATGTGTGGATTTATGTCTGGGCTCTCTACTCTGTTCCATTGCTACATGTCTGTTTTTACGCCAGTACCATGCTGATTTGGTTACTATAACTTTGTAAAATATTTTGAAGTCAGGTAGTGTGATGCCTCCAGTTGTGTTCTTTTTGCTCAGGATTGCTCTGGTTATTCAGGGTCTTCTGTGGTTCCATAAAAATTTTAGATTTTTTTTTTTCTATTTCTGTAAAGAATGTGATTGGTATTTTGATAGGGATTGCATTAAATGTGTAAATTTATTTGAGAGTACTGTCATTTTGATGATATTAATTCTTCCAGTCCATGAGCAAAAAATATCTTTCCATTTTTTGTGTGTCCTCTTCAATTTTTTTCCATCAGGGTTTAATAGTTTTCCTCGTATACATCCTTCACTTTTTTTTATTAAATTAATTCCTAGGTATTTTACACTCTTTCTAGCTATTGTAAATGGGATTGCTTTCTTGATTTCTTTTTCAGATTGTTCACTGTTAGCATATATGTTACTGATTTTTGTATGCTGGTTTTGTATCCTGCAACGTTATTGAATTCGTTTATCAATTCTAACCATTTTTGGTGGAGGCTTTAGGTTTTTCTAAATATAAAATCATGTTGTCTGCAAACAGGGCTCACTTGACTTCTTCCTTTTTCAGAGTTTTCTCTTCTATCACCTGTCTCACTGAAACTGATCTCCCCTTTTCATTACTTTCTCTCATTATCTTCTGTCTACTCTTTGTCCTCTCTAGATATCATGTAATTCTCAATATATTAATATAGTTTCTTACTTAGCTCTAAATAGTAAGTATATTGCCTCCTAATGAAAATCTTTTTTTAATTAATAAAGTTAGAAACCTTTGGAGTGAGAGATTCATTCCCATACCCTCAGCACTTACCACAATTTTTTCTGTGGTTTTCTAGCAAAACAGTTTCTGCTGGCTTCCCTCCACCAAATCCTCTCTCAGATTATTTTCCTCTGCCCTCAATCCCCTAGATTGAAGAGATTATCTAAAGCCTTTCTCTTCTCCATTCATTGCTCTAGGTCAGACTCAAATATTTTTACTATTTCCCATTTGGACAATTTATGTTGTTCCTCAACAGGTTAAGTAGAAGTAAATTTTTGAGGTGGTTGTTCTCTGAAGCAAAGAGTTCGTGCCCCGCCCCCCGACAAATGTGAAGACCAATGTAGGGCTGCTATATTCTTCTTTGCAAAGTAATAATAGTAAAATAGCACTACCATACACTATCACCATCATTTCAGAAGAACATTGTAACGTTAAAAAGTAAGAAGGACACAATCTCAGAATAAAATACAGTCCTTACATGGAATAAATTAGTGACCAGCTTTATAGCTTTATGGAGCCACTTTCTACAGGGTCTTTATTTTTCCCATGTCTCTAAAGAACAGGGAAAACTTCAGAGACACATACAGGTGAACTGATTAGTATTTAAGAGGTGACATGGTATAAATTATCACATATACCTTATTTCAACCAATTTTAAAGAGGAAGTTTAATATGCTTCCCCTCAACTTGGGTTGGTCTTTGCAGCCAGCATTGGGCTTTCTATTTGGATTTCCTCTTATCCAAAACAAACTTTTAGTACCAGAAGTAGTTCTAGAGAAACAGAATTTTAAGGATAGATTCCTTTAGTTGGTTTTGGGGTTTCTGGAGTTGGCTGCTCAATATAATTAGATCCAAAAACGCTAAGGACTCTACTTCTAATACTGTGGAGAACACTGACCGTCCTTGGCATGAACTGTTTAGAGAGTTAGGCAAAATAAATGCATTTGATACTCCTGATTCACCACTCTTGAGAGGCAAAGAGTTTAGCAACTCTACACATAATACCTTTGACCATATGTGGAGAAGCAAGGAATATAATGAAGTTGGTTGGTTGCTCCTAAGTTCACTGGACAAGGTCATGAAAGAAAACAATGAACTCAGGGATTCTAACTCCTGGCTCCAGAAGCACATACTGAGCCTCGAATCTTCTAAGAGTGCCCTTAGTGAGAGTCTTAGCTCCTGTAGAGAAACAGCTGGAAATTGTGGAAAATCAGACACAAGCTCTTATCATGTGAGTGGCTGATGTGCAATGAAAGGTACATGCTCAGGCTCGTCAGGTGTCTACTGTTAAAGTGAGGGCATTAACTGGAAAAGAGTGGGACCCTGCAACTTGGAATGGAGATGTGTGGGAGGACGTTTAACATCAACTTTAAACATCTCATGCCACAAGTTTAGCAATCCATATGACACAGCAAAGCAAGATGAACCTGGATGTCCTCTGTACACAAAAAGATCCTCCCCACACTGCCATCATCCCTCTCCTCTGTTTGCAGGTTTCTGTTCCTGCATACATTTCTCTCAACTTTTTACTGTGGCTCCTTACAAGCTCAAGCTTCTGAAATCTACCATTATTCTAGGTCCATTGGTGCTCTTTGCTCCACATGTTTGCGCCCTTCTCTAAAGCTTTTCTGTTTTTCTTCTGTCATCCATTTTTCTTAACATCAACTCTGTAAAATTTTTCTTATGCTTGTTTCTATAATAATTTAACCACAAGTATATGAGTACAGAGAAAAAAAGCTTTTCTAAAACCTCTTTTGCCTTAAAGGTCATTTAATTCTATTAGAGTAGTACCATTGAGTTTAGATGGTCCCCATTTGAGGCCACTAAAACTAACTACTTCAGGTGTTACGATTTAGCACATCTGCAACTGTTACAAAGATAAGGTAATACAGCCATACAAATGATAATCATATTGCTTTTTGGCACGTTTGGGATTTTTTTAAAAGGAAGCAACGCATAAATAAATGTAAATTTAGAAAGAAAAGAAGATGAAGGGGGGAAAAACCTTAGAATTGTCACAATCCATGTCAATACATTTTTTAAAAAAAGTTATATTTCTATTGATTTTGATTTTGCACAATATTCTATTTTGATGGTTTTATTTATTTATTTATTTTTGAGACAGAGTCTTGCTCTGTCACCCAGGCTGGAGTGCAATGGCGTGATCTCGGCTACTGCAATCTCTGCCTCCCAGATTCAACCCATTTTCCTGCCTCAGTCTCCGGGTAGCTGGGATTACAGGTATGCGCCACTACACCTGGCTAATTTTTGTGTATTTTTAGTAGAGATGGGTTTCACCATGCTGGCCAGGCTGGTCTCAAACTCCTAACCTCAAGTGATCCGCCCGCCTTCGCCTCCCAAAGTGCTGGGATTACAGATGTGAGCCAATGCGCCTGGCCCCATTTTGATGATTTTTAGTTGAACTGAGTTACATTTATTTTACAGTATCTTAGATAGTAAAATCTGACAGACAATTATGTCTTCCTTTATTTTCTATTTCATTTACATTTGTTTTTTTCCCCTTCGACAAAGTAATATACGATTGCTTAAATTTTTTCAAATATTTCAGAAATATAATGGGGTAGTAAAAGGCTTCTATGAGTCCACTCCCCAACATATAGACATGAGCAAGATAATCACTATAACCTGTTAGTGTATATTCTTCTAGTTTTTTTATTGTACATAGACTAATATACATATTACTAATCAGCAAGGTTTTAAATGAGAAAGACTCCACCACTTACCAAAATAAGCCCTGATATTAGTGAGGAAGTTCCTGTTAGGGCCACGTAGAACTTCGGTGTTAATGTGTTCAAAAACATGCTCACTGAAAAAGAAAAGAGAGAGAAAGGGAGAAGAACAAGGAATGTATGAGTACGTCAGTAAAAACAGCTCTTTCATTTTTCTTTCTGCTAAAATCATTCATTTCTGATGATGAGAATTCTTAGAACCATAGTGAGATCCCATTAAAATGATTCACCATTACACAGGCTCAGAATATTAGGTGTCAAGTAACATATCCTGAAAGAAAAAAGCTACATACGAGAAAATAGAGTAGTTGTAATTTCTAACTCCCAAAACAATTGTTGAGAATGGTTTTCATGGATTCATAACCACGGAAGAGTTTAATCAAAGTTGATTACAAACCTCTTAGCCAAAAAAGAGAAGGTGCTCTTACACATTTTGTGGGACCTGCACATCAGAGTCCCTGATGCATCAACAAGCAGTATTTCAACCTTAGAATAAATTGAAAATAGCTATATTTAATATATTAGTTATTAAAGATTATTATACTATGGTTACCCCTAATAAGGGAGGACAAATTGTTGGTGCAAAAGTAATTGTGGTTTTGGCCACTGTATGATGAGTAAAAGGTTTTTTTCAACTTACTTAAAGGCTTTTAAACTGGTCATCAAAATAAATGGAGTCAATGAAAACAACTAAAAATTAACCTCTAAAAACGAATGTTCACTGCCAGGCACCTTCTTTTCTTTTCTTTTTTTTAGTGAAACCAAGTTTATTAAGAAAGCCCAGGCACCTTCTTGACCAATTCCCACCACTCTGTTCATATCCACCATCCAGTTAACCCGGTTGCTCACCGATTAGGGTTCGTTTATAAGTATTTTATACATATATTTTAAGTCATTGTTATTTATATCTAGATACTACACAAAACTTTTATTATTATCAAAACCACCACATACTTACTGGGCTTTTTGTGGGAACAGTCACATTTCTTTACTGAATCTGTTTGTAGAAGGGAATCACATCCAGTCTGGTTTTAGAAGTAGGGCTTTGATGTCATTAGAGGGAAAAGCTTTGGCATCTGTCCTGAGTTCAGCCCAGAAAGCAAAGTAATATACCAAAATGAACAGAGATCCCACGTTCACTCATTCAACAAATATTTTTCTCTGTTTATGAATGAGACAATGGGTAAAAAATGAAAGAATGAATCAGACACAGTTCCTACCCTCTAGAAGACCAAGTGCAGTTGAAACGCACAAGCAAATGAGCAACTATTACATAAGTGCATAGATAGGTCCTGGCCGTAGGATTTTATGAAAACACATAAGAGGGATGCATCCCAGGCTGGGTGGCAGGGAAGAAGTCCAGGAGACGGACACATCTCAGCTGAATCCTGAAGAATAATTAAAAGCTAACCAGACCAAAGTGGACGGAAGGAGGGAAAGGAGGACAATCTAAACAGGGGAAAGGACCTGCCTCAAGATGCCAAGGAGACAGCATGGGACTTTCCAAGCAAATGCAAGGGTTGGGGAGGGAAGGAGATTGAGCAACAAAGACATGGATGTAGAGGGGTACACTGGTTGCATTCTTTCGTGCAACCTCAGCATCCTCTCAATAAGCTCGCCTCCCACTGCACCTACTCTTAAATGAATCTGTTTGACCTGTGGTATCTCATTTGCAATCACAAGAGACTGGACTAACACAATGTGTTCAGTCAATACTTAAAACTTGAACTAAATGGACCCGGAACTTCCGGGAAGGTAGAAGGTGGCACAGAAGTAGTGATCAGCTGAGGGCTATGAGGTAAGAGGAGGAAGGTACGGTTGAGTTGAGGAGGCTTTCCCTGGCCATCAAAAAAAAAAACCAAAATAAAGTGATATGTCATTTCCCATGCAAAAGTTTGTTCATGGAAGGAAGGAGATTTTTAAAATAGAAAAACATCAAATGTGCACAAAACACCCCTAAAGCTTATAACTGCCAATATGATTCAGAGGTGCTTAAAATTCTCAAAATTTCCCTCCACACTATGAGTGACCCCACATTCCCTGTTATTTTTTTAAAAGTCATCAGAGGCTGGGCGTGGTGGCTCATGCCTGTAATCCCAACACTTTGTGAGGCAGAGGTGTGTGGATCACTTGAGGTCAGGAGTTTGAGACCAGCCTAGCCAACATGGCAAAACTCCGTCTCTACTAAAAATACAAAAAATTAGCCAGGCATGGTGGGTGCTGTAATCCCAGCAACTTGGTAGGCTAAGGCAGGAGAATCGCTTGAACCCGGGAGGCGGAGGTTGCAGTGAGCCAAGATCGCGCCATTGCACTCCAGCCTGGGCAACAAGAGCAAAACTCCATCACAAGAAAAAAAAAGAAAAAAGAAAAAGCCAGCAGAATATTCACTTTGTTATTCTGTAATTATAAACATTCATATCTGTACCATATATACCTTTCAGTAGGTTTCTGCAAACAAACTGAACGCCATTGAAATCCATTTCTAAAATAGAGGAAAAGATCTGCCTAAATTAGAAGTGCTTTAGTAGCCCTGCTGTTAACTGCCTAGCAACAAAAGCATAAAGCAATGGAGAAGAAAGATTTTCTGCTGAAAAATCACTGATCCACTGGGGGCAAACAACTGAAAATTTAATCAATAAGTGAAAAAAATTTTTTGAGTTTTCTTAAAGGAGATAAAGATAAAGATTCCATTCATTTGTTTTTATTTAATTACGATTATATATCAATAATAATTAATAATTAAAGTTTATTTCTCTGGTATATCCATGTATAGGAAGGTGGCAGAGTTGAGAGACATAATGGTAGGCATTAAAATAAATGGAGACACGAACAGAAAATAGAGAAGCAGAAACAAACACCCAGACAGTAGGAGATGCCCATTTAATAACCTACTCATTTACAACCTTATTAAGCATCTGGCTAAAATCATGCAGACATGGCATGTGGCAATTCTGGACATAATATCAACACTTGGTACTTGCCATTTCAACCTATGTATTTATCAATGTGTTTAAGGATTATAACGAAGCATTTCCACAGATTAGAGAAGTTAATTTTCATTTCAGCACCATGAGATCAATATTATTTGCCTTGTCTTGCGGCTGGAGGCTAGGCAAAGACCTGAATGCCAGTCAGCCTGCCCCCAAGCTCATGCTTTTAGCACCATGGGGGACACATGGGAATATTACTGAAAAGCCTTCAGCAAAAAAGGACAAAAGGAAACTACAGTAGCCTTTCATTAGAAAAGGAGAGGAAGCTCTAAATGATACTATAAGACAGATTTTTTTTTAACTTTGCACTTATTTTTATCTCTGCCTTTTCTAGATAAGTCCCCTGTGAGCTTGTCATTTGTGTGTGAAGCACTAGAATGGAAAGGCAGGAAGCCACCCTGAGAAGGGGGAGAATCTAGTTAAAAATTCTTCTATTACATTAGGAAGGCTGCAAACCCCGAACTGCCCTGAAACCAAGAAATATCTTGCCTAGTTTCATCAAAGTCATTAGCAATTATTTTTGAAAACATATGAGGGCCTGATAAAGTGCCTAAAAATTGGACCAGAAAACTGTGAGGTATGTGCTTTGAGACACAAAATGGATATTCCCGATATTCTTTTTTTTTCTTTTTTTTTTTTTTTTTGAGGCAGAATCTCGCTCTGTTGCCCAGGCTGGAGTGGAGTGGCACGATCTTGGCTCACTGCAACCTGCACCTCCCCGGTTCAAGTGATTCTCCTGCATCAGCCTCCCAAGTAGCTGAGATTGCAAGCACCAGCCACCAAACCTGGCTAATTTTTGTATTTTTAGTAGAAACGGGGGTTCATCATGTTGGCCAGGCTGGTCTCAAACTCCTGACCTCAGGTGATTCACCCACCTCGGCCTCCCAAAGTGTTGGGATTACAAGTGTGAGTTACCGCGCCCAGCCAGATATTCCTGATATTCTATAGATACATCAGGGTGACCTCCATATTTGCTGGGGCTAGGCAAAACAAATGTTAAAAACCAACATGTAACAACTAATCTAGCTTTGTGAAAATGAACTATAATACTTTACTAATGCACTATTTCAATAAATCAGAGGGCTTTTCATCTGACCTGACTGGGCACCTCTAACAGGTCACACTGCTCGAAGAATATTACATCACTTATTGAAGGGCAGCCTCAGGGAATGCACCACGTAGAGTTCTGAAGATGCTGCACCTTCACCTGGCACAGTCTTCTCATTTAATTAATCAGTAAATGTGAAGGAATTAAGTGTGGCATTGAGAAGAAACTAAGTAGGCGGGGTAGGTACATGCACTGAAAATTAAATTACCTCTATGGATCACAGAAAAGCATAGGTAACAGGATAATACAGCAGGTTCAACTGTGGGAAGTGAAGAATCACCCCAGTGAGCAGGGAATTAATACCAGAAGGCTCACTCAGGAATCACATGGCATGCCCCTGTGAAGCCACATCTGTAAGGAGCCAGCCACGTTCTGGCTCTCAGGACAGTAACAGTCTGCCACTATTTTCTTCAGAGTATGAGCAACCCCTGTATTACACTCCTGGAAGAGGCCTCTGTAAAGCATAGCAGGCGTATAACCCTGTGTGTTTGCCTCCTTACGTATATTCCACCTTGCACAGGGAAGCCTTCGAATGAATGAGGTAAGGCAGCATGAATGCCTTGGAGGTACTGACTAGATAGAACTGAATAAGCAGCATGATGAAGTCCACAGCATCCAAAAATATGGGTGTGCTTTGTGCCATGTTCCTTTTAATGCTTTGCTAAAATATGACATGCAAAATGGAAAAAAAAAATAAAAGTTATAAGATAACAATCAGCAATAATTCAAAGGGTTAAAAAAGAGTCCCTGGGAGAAAAGTTTAGGGAAACTAAGTTATTTAGGCTGAAAAAAGAAAACAAACAAAAAAACAATGGAAGGGACTTCATATAAAAGCATTATGCCTAGGAAAGAGACCAGGAATAGGAGACCCAGTCGCCAAACATGAGACCAACAACTGTGTCACGATGGCCCTGAGAGTTCTTGCAGAGCTTTGGTTTCCTATCTGTTTCCCAGAACTGCTCTGAGGCTGAGATGAAATGTGCATTTTCTCTTAACATCAGTCTATGGTCGCTGAGTGCCTACCCTGGGCCAGATTCTGGGGACACAGCAGCTTACAGAGCACTGCCCCTGACCACAAGAGGCTCACAATCCAATGGGTGAGAGAAGCAAGTAATCGGATAAGCAAATGGGAAAGGACACATGAGGAAATTATAAGGGACAGGGCACCAAAAGGAAAGGAAGATCCAGAAAAATTTCTGCCAAGAAAAAGCATCTCATCTGAGACCTGCAGGCTGAATAGAAAGTTAACCAGGTAAAGTTACTGATGGCTGCAGAGACTAGGGAACAGTGATGGGTAGAGCCATAGGCCATTCCATGCAGAGTACTGCAGCCCTGGGCCCTGAGGGTGAATGCCCAGGGAAGGAAAGTGAAGAGCAGTTGAGGCACTGGTGGGGAATTAGATATATGAAATTCTATCTAAAGTGCCTGTATACAAATACATGGAATACTGATTGACTAGTAGTGAATGTCTAGTCTCAGTTTCCATTATGATGAGACAAATTAACATGAATCCAAATAGTACTTCTAAAAATTAGGACAGCTGTTTGGTCTTCTCCAAAATTACCAAAATGATTTTTGGAGGACTTCTCTCTAACAAGTTTATGCAGTGCCGGGATGGACAATGCAGCCCAACTAAAAAGATAAAGAATAGGGGGCTTTGGTTTACTTACTTTCTTGTTAAATCAATGTGGGTGAAAATCTCTTTACAAAAAGTATTCATGCACATTTGAGATTGTTTCATTGTCTATAAAATTTAAAAAGTAATACCTATCTTGCATAGTTGTCACAAGAGCTAAATATAATACTGCAGATAAAATGCCTAATACAGCAGACCTCATCAAATAATATGTATTATGATGGCTGTTTTTCTTCTTTGGTTTTTTTTTATTTTTTGAGATGGAGTCTCACTCTGCTGCCCAGGCTGGAGTACAGTGGTGTAATCTTGGCTCAACACAACCTCCGCCTTCCGAGTTCAAGTGATTCCCTTGCATCAGCCTCTCAAGTAGCTGGGATTACAGGCATGTGCCACCACACCCAGCTAATTTTGAAGTTTTAGTAGAGAT